ATTTGGGGGTGCTTAACTTTTTTCCAGGTGTATATTTTCTTTGCAGGTTTTGCTAACATTCAACCTTCTTCACACATAATAGTGTTAAGTTTTTATCATTAAAGTTCTGAAAAAAAACAAGTTCATTAACAAAATTGTTTACATTATTTGTATTTCATCAAAATGTGGTATTATTGGTAGAGGTGAGTATTTTTGCAAGCACTGTACAAAGGAAGATAAAAATGCTGTCCTACACTAATAACTAAGCAAAGCTATTCCTTATGAAGTTAATAATTTGAAGTCTACAATGGCACTCTACCTTGTTCTGGTCAGTCCAGAAGAGGAAAAAACCCTCTTTATCCACTTTCACAGTTACCGGTGTACCTACAGTGGAGTCCTGTAAGAATATAAAATATAAGATATACAATTTGATATTATTTATTAGTTAGGTAGACTTAATTATCTGGAGAAAAACAAATTATGGGTTTAAAAGAGTTAATTTTAAAGTACTGACCAGATGGTTTTTTGTTTTGAATTTCCTGCAAAGCTACATAAGAGCTATCCATGCTAACCATCCCTAGTTTAGCAGTGAGTCAAGCATCCTAACCACTTGGCCAAGCTAGGCCTCTAACCAGTTGGAAGCCAGAAAGTTAGTAGCTCCTTACCACTTACACTAAAATATTGACTGTCACCCTTACAATTCACCCACAGCTTAAAGAACAGGGAATATTTTGTGGTACTGCAAGAATTCAAACCCGGCTTGCTAGCTCAGAAATCCAGAGCTCTACCACAGGGCCAATCCAAATTTATGTGGCTTAACAGCTATTTATTAAAAAAGAACAAGTACTAAAACATAAAATAATTTTAGTGATATTAATTAATCATGGAGAGTACAAAGGTTTGATGCTTGTACTTGTCTATAATTTATAAAAATTATTGTTGTGAATTAAAATTAAATGGGAAAATAAGTATATTTACTGATAATACATTTTTGACTTTCAGTTCTATTTCTATAGAGGAAATACAAAATAACATTAATTCTGATTTATGAATAGTAGTTGCTTGGTTTAGTAAAAATAAATTAACTATTAATATTTCAAAAACAAAATATTTTTAATTAAAAACAAATTTTCTACAAAATGTTATTTCGTTCATATATAATTCAAAAATACTAGTTAAAACTATCCATGCTGTGCCCACCACGAGTATCAAAACCCGGTTTTCAGCCATGTGAGCCCTCAGGCTTTACTGCTGAGCCATTAGGGAGGCCAAAGTTATAAGATGTTTATGTTTTAAACAGGTAATAATTTACTTTGGAAACAACATTTATATCTTTACATGTTATAATTAATTCTAAAACAAATTCAAGAATTTAGATATATAGTTCCTACAGTTAAAAAAATAGACAATATGCAAACATTACTGTTATTTAGCTCCATAAATTTTGTAATGGTTTTCCAATACATTTAAGAAGTTAAAATAATATAAACAAATTTTAAGTACTAAAAAGGCATCCTCCAGTGTCTCAGCATAAGTCTGAAGGCTTATAATGCTGAAAACCAGACTTTAATACCCTCAGTACGAAGAGCACAGATGGCCCATTACGTAGCTATTAAAAAGAGATATCTAGACAAGTGTAAGGAAATAGCAAAGTTATAGGCAGTAGTGAAATACTTATATTGCATATAAAACTTAAGTTTAAAATGAGATATGATAGTGATTTATAATAGGGATCACAATAAACTGAACAAACCCTAATAGAACGTTCGGGCAAAAAGCACCTTAAACAGTAAAGATTCAGTTCAAACAACATTCAAAACCTTTACTGTTGACTGCTAAGGCTACACATAAACAAAAATGCACTAAAAACCACGCATGTTAGACTTAAAAGGAAAAGAAAATCCGCTCAAAATGGCCTACTTGTAATTCTTATTATTATTCTCTTGCCAGGCAACAAAAAAAATGGCATTCTATATTGCATCCAAACTTTTTGTAGAATACTATACAAGGTACTGTAAAGGTCTTATGGGTGCTGTTACTTCTATATTACACTATATTTCTATAGTGTAAAAAAATGTTATCATTACCCCTTGAAGTTAGGTTTCTTCCAAATATATGTAGTTCCTTTACAAATCTTAAGCTTAATTACCAGCCAATAATATACAAACATTAGATGACTGTAACTCAATGCTTTGTACACTATATAATTGATGTCTTTAGGGAGCTAACCCCTATATTATGTATGAAGTGAAGGAGTCAAAAATAAAAAAACAAATACACGTAATATTAAATTATGTTAAACACATTCATAGAATAATTACTTTAAGAGACAGGAAAGTTTATTTAAAGCGATGTTTTACACAGATAAGTTTTATTTGAAAAGGCTCTTTTCTACTGGTAACATTTTTTTTTCGTGCTTAGTGGTGGTCTAAGTATACATCTGCCCATTGTTATGCATTACATATAAAGAATTTAGTTACTGGGAAGCTATAAATGCTCACTATATTCTCAAACAAGATAAATCAATGTTTGGGAATTTAAAAACCTACAAATAGGGATCGTAAAAAAGTAAGGAAACAAGGCTAGAGATACTGTAGACATTATTTACTCAAACTACAAACCGCTATTTTGACTCCACCAGTTTTTGAAAAGTACAAATGACTGGAATAACGTGCTAAAAACCACTTGTAATAAAATAGTTTGCCAGGTTTTGATCAGACACAGAAAAGTGCTGCAAATAATTTATTCTTTCTTTATTGGGTGACAATCACGTTTTTTGCTCTTACCATACAAAAACTGGAGTTATATAGTAGGCTATTTCAGTTAAAATCAATTAGAAAAGTATTGATTCATGTTTGCAAATGAACACAGAAATAAATAAGTATAAATATATCCCATGTAGGAAACGAATCCTAAAAGCCTTCGATTAACTCTACCAATACTAGGTATGAGTGATCTATATTGCTTCATATAATTCTTCCAGTTAAACAAGTTCGGGTGATGTCTCCCAGAGCGTGAATTTATTATTTTGGTAATGAATAGGGTGTTTATCAGTATGTTCCAAATGAGTTTCGTACAGTTTCCCATGATTAAAATATCGTCCAATTTGTTTTGGCTCAAATCAGCTCATCCGTTTCCAGAATTAAGTTTTTCGTTTTTAAACGATGAGTCGCTTGTATTCAGGTATTATACCAAGACAGCTCGCATCACCCCGGACACGAGTTACTGGGTATATACCAAGACAGCTCGCATCACCCCAGACACGAGTTACTGGGTATATACCAAGACAGCTCGCATCACCCCAGACACGAGTTACTGGGTATATACCAAGACAGCTCGCATCACCCCAGACACGAGTTACTGGGTATATACCAAGACAGCTCGCATCACCCCAG